TTTTTTTTTTGAGATAGTGAAATAATCTGTAAATGAGAAAGCTTGATGTCTGTTTTTTCCATCCCTTTGATAACTTCTTTCAACGAGTAGAACCAAAACAATTAAGTAAAGAGCAACATTGAGGGCTGCATTAAGTTCATACAGCTCAGACAGGTAAAGTGCTTTAGTGATAACAAAACCAACTATAAATTTCTCTATCAGATGCAACAATCATGAGTAATCCAGTCAAATTACTATCTAATTTCTTATTCTATGTATCTATTGCCAGTCATAACTCATTATAGGGAAAGGATAACACAATAATGAACACTGCTAGTTAAAAAAAGGCAAAAAGAAAAATTTTTACACTTAATATAAGCCAATAAGGAATGAGTGATGCTAATTTGTCTGAAAATTTATAATAACTACAAGTGTGAGGATGTTGTCTATATTGTTCATATTAAAAACTCATGAAACACCAAAATAGGGGAAATTTAACTTCATTATGGTGTCAATCTATTTATATATATTTACATCTAACCATATTAATAGTTGAGTGTGAAATAGCTGTCAGCCTTCTAAAGTAGTTGGGATTACATTATCAGCCTGACAGCCATTATTACACTTGCAGTCAAGTTTTTGGGTTTGCAAGATTACACTTGGAAAAATTAGTTATTTGAACTATGGATCTGATTTTCTCTATTCCCAGCCACTGATTTTCATAAAGTCCATGGGAACTTAATTATCTTCGAGACGTCTACCCCTTTCAAATATAGTTTAAACTGTCCAACAAGTTCAAAAGGTGTTGGAAGTGAGGAGGGACAGCCAGCCAGTCCAGTCACATAAGCCTTGTTTCCTCAGGGAACAAGGCTAAAGATTTTTTCTTGATCATGAAATAGCTGCCCTATGTAAACTGTTTTGAAGTAATTTCTTCATACAAAGTACCTTAATTATATACAGCTCTTTCCAAACACATGAAAGGCTGGGTACTTGCCCTGAAGAGCTTGTATTTTAACTCAGATAAATGCAGGTGAGCCAGTATTGCCAGTGCAAGAGGGCACAGAGACCGAGCTTCTCAAGAGACTGCAAAGTGGGGCCCAGCCTGACAGAGCACAGCACAAGAATGCTTGACTTCCAGAGCACTGCACAGAAATGTTTGATTTCAGAAGGCAAGAATTCTGTATCCTTGCTCTGCAGATCAGGCTTCTTCAAGTGTTCTCGGCTTGAGCATTCTTACTGCTGAGACATTAGCTGTTTGAGAAATCCCTGATCAAAGGCATCGGCAACTGAAAAAACTAGAGGACTTGCCTATCCATTACTTGGATAGCGTGGAGGAACCTTGTTTCAACCACACTGCATGAATCCTTAAAGCCGTGGTCTAATCTGAAAGCAAAATGCCGCCCTCTTAACCAAGAAATGTAAATCTTGTTTGTATTTATATTCATATCTGTTTATGTTAGCATTAAAATATTTCCTCTGTTTTTGGCTGGGGTTTTTTCTCATTAGCTATTGTAAGTTGCCACAGCCAAACCCCTAATTTAACAATGTAATTAAACATGTGCTTTGCTGATCTCCAGTGGAGAGAGAGCTACTGTGATTTGTTGAATCAGAACTTTGGGCTGTGTCTTGAGGGATCAATTGGATGTTATTTTCTTAGATGAGTTCATCTGAGTCAGCTGAATATAAATGAAAACACTTCTTAGAGCACACATTACAGAAAAAAGTAGTATTTTTACTAGTCATTAGCAACTTTGTGGTAACTAATAGGTGGTAATATCTGGTGTAGACAGTTCTTTAATTTAAACATTTATTTTTAGCACATGTTCACCTTCAGAGGGGGGAAAAAAGCAACAAACCAGTTAGTGAAGAGTAAGTTGGAGCTTCACTAGAAGGTCATAAATAACTGGATTTCAAGTAATATGAAGACCTCTGAGACTGTTCTGTCTTCAACAATTCTAATAAAGTAGGATCCCTAAAAGATCATGCTGGAATGCCAGTAACTTTGAGTATCTTTAAATCACAGTATCATAATTCACCCAATCATGAGAAACAGAAAGCCTCGGAGTTCTAGCAGTCACATGCCATCCCAAAAAGTGCATTAGCCAAAAACATTTAAATAAATTACCTATTACTCTTCAGGCTTTAGCATTCTGCAGACTGAGGCTCAAATATCTAACACTAGCAGTGCCAGGCTTTCTTAGGTGGAAAATTTATATTGCTGGACTATTGCTGGCACAATGTACTGTAAAAATATTAGTAGAAAAACTGGAAAGAACAATGTACAAATCAAAGCAAGAGAGAGAAAAGTCTGAGAAGTACAGGACCCACTCAGGTCTCTGTTTGAAGTCCTACAGAGGGATTTCATACCACTTTCCTACAGGTGAGTGCCATAGCTACTGACGGAGAGAAAGAGAAAGAGAAGAAGGACAAGGACAAGGAGAAGGACGGGAAGGGAGGGAGTTGCAGATGGAAATAAAGGCTTGCTGCTTTTGCTTGTGTTCATCTTTTAAAAGCATGGGAAAAAATATACTTTAAAAAATTTGACCTTAATTTTTTTTCGTGATTAACTGAGGGGAAAAAAACAGTTATATTTTAACCTAAACAATTTCTGAATTAACCACTTATCTTGCTGACAGTCAAACAGACTCGAATTACTTCAATTCACTATAATACTTCTTCCTTGTTTATGTTGACCCTTCACAAAGCCACAAAAGCAGGGGTTACTATTAAGAAAGTACAACTTACGTTACTTTAACTCCCACACTGCCTTCTTCGAACACCAGGAGTTTGGCATATACTCTTTAAACTTTTTTTTTAGCATTTCTTTTAAATATATTACATTCCAGGTTGACTGTGTCCTCTTCAGAGTGAGAGAAAGAAACACACTTTAAATTTAACAAGTCCACTCTAGCATGGAATTCTCTCCCTGCCTCTCCTAGCTCTTTGCCTGCTATGCATATAGAGGATATAAACAGCAATACCTGGGTTCTAAAAAATTTCAGCTTTACCTAAACTCTCTATGAAGGGAATACATTTATATAGACTGGGGAATTTACCTGAATAACCAAGGGGCTATAAAAGTGAGACTGTTAATAGTCATATTTTTCCAGAAAATATATTTTCTCTTAAGTCACAACATTTTAGCAAAGCAGTTCATGTCTTCAAGAAAACAGGACCTGCCTGCTTTGAATTTATTTTTTTAACCATAAAACAAATTTTTAGTTCAAGTGTACACTGAAAATTGACCATTTTTGCAACAGCATATAGATTAACGATAATACTGAGTCTGCATTTTCAACGAATTTTTTAAAAGGAAATAATTAACTGAAAAAGTACAGATAAATATAAGTAAGTAAAAATAAGTAAGTATAAATCCCATATTATTTCTTAGGTGACAAACACAGACATTTAGATATTGTATGTATTAAAAAAGAACAGCAAAATTGAAAGAAACAAATAATGCAGAAGCAAATGAATGGAAATCTTTTGAAAAAGCTCAGGAAAGACAAAGAAGCATAAAAATTGAACAGATCCTTACATGACTATTTAGGAAATTAGTGAGATAATAAAGAACAGGCATGTCAGAAAAGGCATGCCTGCTCCCATCTGCTCTTCCCCAGAGCTAGTTATTTCCATATACTAAAATGTTTCCCCCCTCCCCTTCTGTCAACAGGAGCATCTGTCAGTTAAAGAGACGCTCTATAAAGCTAATGGAGATCAGTTAATTTTATGACTTAAAAAAAGAAATTGTGTATTAACCTAAAGATTTCTGGTGTTTAAAAACAGGAAAAAAAGAGTGTTGTTTGCCTTACCATGATGATGATGATAATTCTTTCTGCCGTTTACAGAAGAATAAACAAACTATGGTGTGTGAGATGCAGCCCTGTGTGTCACTAACCAAACCCTTTTTCTTAGCTATCCTCCCACGCTTTAACCCCTTCTTTCTTCTGGCAGCACTCAGGTAAAAACAAGCAAAAAAAGGAAGCAGTATCTGACTTGAGCCTTTCCAACTGATAAGTCATTTGGCAGACAAATTATAACTAAGAAAGGGGCTCAATTAGAGGATAGGAGAAAGAACTGCAGAAGGCTGGCAGCAAGTCGTTCAGTAAGCACCTCTACAGAAGCAGAGAACCTGTGGCAAAGAACTATGAAGTTAGTGTTGGGCAAACGCCTTACGTGCATTAATTAACATGCAATACTAGAGCACAGATATGCAACAGTAGGAAAAAATATACCACACACGTTGGTTCTCACAGACCTGGTTACTGTTTTCTGATCCACATTTAAGAAGGCCAAAGGAAAAAAAAATCACTTGTGCTGTTATTTAGAAAGAGACTGATTTATATAGGTATCCTTGGTTCTTCACTGTCCTGGGTTGGTATATTAAGCCAGTATTTTTCTAGCTACCTAAATGATCCTAAAAAGGAACTTGAAAAAGCAGAAAAGAACTAGCACCAAAAGTAGGAGTGGGGATTATTCAACAGTGAAGAACAGAGAGAATACTTAAGCTCTCCCGAACTTGGAAAACTCTCAGAAATATTATTATATGTAAAAAAATAGCATTAACATAAATTATTGCCCTTGTAACTCTTTGTGTTTCAATATAAGTGAAAGTGAGGAAGTTTGATATGAGTTAGCCTCACATCTTCCCTTTCAGGATTTTGAGTCTTGCTGCTGGGTCAGAGCTGTATCATTAGATAATCTTCTCAGTGTAAAGATTCAGCAAGACCACCTCGTTCAAAGTAAACAGTGAAAATAAACACATACTATATGTGTTTTGTTCGAAGAGAGAGAGGATCTTAAAAGTACTCTTTCTGTTGAGCAATAAAGGATAAATGGCAAAAGCACTTTGGAGGGGAAGAGAGGGGATTGGAAGTATTTTAGGTCTCCTCAAACCATAAGCCACAACTAATAAATGTAACTCCTTCCCTTTTTTTAATTCTGAATGCAATTCAGAATGATAAAGAATCTGTTCCATAAGTGGTTTTGATTCACAAGATTGCTTCCTTCTTCATTTGTAGGTCTCTCTTCTGTTTTGTGAAAGTGTACAGTGTCCTGTCACTAACTCTAAATGGCGTATCCTGGTAAGTATAGATTTAACATAAATTGCCTAATTTAGATCTAAAATTTACTGTAACACTTCCCAATTCCTTTTAGATTAAGTATTTATGTATAATTACCAGAGACAGGAAATAGGATTTTTTTTTCCTGCACATCTGAGAGTGTATGTATGAGAGACTAAGCTGTCAATCACTGGAAATCAGCTCTTTCCTAAGCATAATCAATCTTGATCTCTTTCCAATGCTTTCACACAAAATTGCTGTCAATAGGAGCTCCGCAGTCTTCGAAGTATATGACATTTGAAAAAGTCTTGCAGCATTACAATAAATGATTATGAGACAAAGAGGAAATAATCCTAAGGAGACACATATATTTTCAGTCTTTGCCAAACATAGCACTGATATGGCTACTCTGTGCTGGCTATCTGAGCTGGCTTTTCCTGGGCATCTCTACATGATGCTGCACGTGGCCTCACCTCAAGTCCTGTGTGCAGTTTTGGGTGCCACAATATAAGAAGGATATAAAGCCACTAGAAAGCATCTAAAGGAGGGCTACAAAGATAGTGAAGGGACCAGAAGGGAAGACTTATAAGGAGCAGCTGAGGTCACTTGACTTGTTCAGCCTGAAGAAGAGGAGACTGAGGAGAGACCTCATCACATTCTACAACTTCCTTATGAGGGGAAGCAGAGGGGCAGGCACTGATTTCTTCTCTCTGGTGACCAGTGACAGGACCTGAGAGAACAGCATGAGGCTGTGCCAGGGGAGGTTTAGGTTAGGTTAGGAAAAGGTTCTTCACTTACAGGGTGGTTGGGCATTGGAACAGGCTCCCCAGGGAAGTGGTCACAGCACCAAGCCTGCCACTGTTCAAGAAGTGTTTGGACAATGCTGTCACAGGCACATGATGTGATTCTTGGGACTGTCCTCTGCAGGCCCAGAAGATGGACTTCCATGATCCATGTGTGTCCCTTCCAACTCATGATATTCTATGATTCTATGTAGCTTAAGAGCAAGGTGGGATTTCTAATATGCTCCCATGCCCAGTGTTTCTGGTCAGCTAGCTCTAAGTGCTCAGCAGATGAAGGATACTGACCACCTCACTGTTTGCTTGCACTAAGTAGGAAACCTAGGTCTTATCTGCAGTTTTAATTCAGTCTAGGGAACATATGCCTCTGAATTAGTTTAAGTGACTAAAACACCAAAGTGTCCTTCAGCAGCTCTAGCTCCATATATGTAACATGTTATGTAATTCAAAATTTACAAAACTTGAGATCTTTTCATTGAGTAAAGCAGATAGTATGCAGCTATAAATGGAAAACTAAAAGCCTTTTGCTAGCAGCTCAAGGACTTTCCCCACGTCGGGTGCAGTAGAATACAGGCTGTCACAGGCATACAGGGCAAGAGGCAGAAAGCCACCATTCTCAGCACTGTGTTACTAAGGTGAGGAGGTAAAGGTATAGAAGCATAAAACCAGTAAACAAACTGCAAATTGGACTACTAGTCTGACCAAAGCAAAATTTCATAAACAATTGCAGTGAACTGCATATTTGACATGCTTGCTTTGAAAAGCTGATGTGATAGTCTTGTGACAGAAAAAAAATTACCTTATGCTTATGACTCTGAAAACCATTTAGCAGGATGAAAAATGACAATATTTAGTCAAAGTGTATTTTAAAATGAAATTAATAGAATCTCTTCTCCATAGAAGTTCTCATTAAATAGATAAAAATCATGCAATGTAACTCCTATTAGACATTATGCCAGGGTACCATTTTGTACCTTTAAATACACTGAACCTTTCAACTTAAATATGTCTCAAGTCAACCCCCCAATATGAAGGTACCCAACATAGCAGCTGCTTTGGAAAATTTTGGTTTGATAGTCTATGTGCTTCAAAGAGCCCTTTTATGAAATGTATGAAGTGTTTACACTCCTTGATAACTTCTTTGATATACGGATTTTTCATCATGTACAGATGAAGAGTTTAAAGTACAAGGAACTATTATTATTAAAATACCTTATCCTGACCTCATAAAAATTGGCTGGACACCTCATTTTACATTTGAATTAATGCCATAATTTAGCCTTTATTCTAAATAACAGTGTTCACCTAAGGCTTCCAGAATTCACTAAAATTATTTCTTATAACAATTATTACAGAGAATTGCCTTAATATTGGTTAGAATAAAGTTTATAAAACCAGGATAAAGAAGGTGAGAATGACTCCAGACCCACTGGTTCCCTGCAGTGCTGCAGGCAAAACCTAAATCAAGTGGCATAGTCCCTCAAACTCTTTACTAATAATCCCACAATTACATCCATATCGCAATATTCTCCATTAACCAAGAGAAACTTCTAAGAGGAAATGTTTTAATGAAATGCATTTACATTCTCAGGTGTGTTTATTTTAGGCTCCAAACAAAACTAATAATTATAAAAAACATTAAAATAATTAATACGTTTGTCCAAAAACCAGATACATTATTGTTCTGAAGAAAAAGATATATATTTTTCTGCTATTACATATCTGTTATTAGAGACACATCACATTACACCACTGAGCACTCAAACTACTAAATGTTAGCTGCTAAAGAGATATAACTACAACAGCATTTATATCTCACTACTATTATTTGTGGATGATTGGATCAAAATTCTTATTCCTAAGTTCTAAGTCTCCAGGTCTTACCTCTAAAAATATATTTCGTTGATTAGCAATAATGCAAGAGGGAATTGGATCAAACTGGATGAAATTGTACAGTTCGGAAATATCAGATTTCCAGGAAATGCCAAGAAATACACAGAACTATTGATTCCCCACTTGAATTTCTGAAGATATTAGTTTGTGCAAAGGCCAATCCAACATGCTTTATGATTGGCTTTGATGCCTGTGGCTTAGAAAAAAATCATGACAAAGGTACGTCTAAAGCTAACCCTTAAAAACATCATGATTAACCAAACACAGTTTTAGCTACAACAGTTCTAGTGTTGGGCTCAAACTATTTTAGGTACTTTCTAAATAAATTATGGTAAAAACACTCCATTAGAAACTTTTGGGCTCCCCTTTGCATAAACTTACTCCATTATTTGTTGGTGCTTTGGCATGTAGGAGGGAGCTGGTCATCAGCCATAAAAACCTGGTACACAACAAGTGTTTTCTGTAAGTAGAAAGTAGGCATGAACCTTCTCTCTTTTGTTCCTAACCTACCGCGTTCCTCCCATGCCTTCTTGGCACCTGGTGGGAAAGGGTGGGAAGACAAATCTCTCCTACTCTGTATGATTTTGTTTTAGCTACCCACCCTTTTTGTCTGCAAATGACTCCATCTTTTTGTCTCTTCTGCAACTCAGGCTTTCCCAGCCGGCCATATGATGAACCTGACAAGTCTCTTCAGTTTCCCAGCTGTGCACAGGACTCTGGAGAGCAGCCTCCAACAAGCAGGGGGAGCTTCTGTTTTGCCGGGCACCCACTTGGGAGAAAACCCTTACAAACCGTCTATCCATTTTCATGTTTAAAAAGTGAGTTTCTTTTTCAGGTCCAAGAGTCAGAAATTTATCTGATAAAAACTAAGTCTTACAGGCCAAACAAAAAACATACCTTCAGTGTTTCCAGAAGCAAAACAATCAAAACTCCCCTGAAGAAGAAGGAAGGGGAATATCCAGAATTACTACTGATAAGCCTTTTAAAATCACAAGTTTCCCCAGATGAAATACAAAAAAACTATACAGATCTTGATGTTCTTTTTATTTAAATTCTGGTTGCTAAACATTTATGGTGTAGTTTGTCAGATTTTTCAGACTTTTTAAAAGCTACACTTTTAAATCCCTATTTTCCTCCTAGACAATTAAAAAAAAAAAAAAGGGGAGGGGAATTGTAAAGACAGGAGAGGAAAAGAGGATATATTTTTATTTGCATGTCATAATGTATGATTCAGAGGAAATTATGATGTCAGAGTTCCATTATAAAAAAAGCAATGTTTGTAGTGCAAAACATTGCATTCCATTTAAATCTTTAGATATTGCTTGCACCAAAATAAACTCAAAACTTACCTGGTAAAAAATTACCCACTGTGATTTTGAAAATTATATGAACAATGCTAGTTTGTAGGAATGGTAGATTTCTTTTACAATCTCTAAATCTTACTCAAACAGTAGTTTGGGCATTTTTTTTTAAGTGGATCATGCTTTGCTTTTGCAGATCTTGAGCTATGGCTGATTGAGTGCTTGTTTTAAGCGGATAAGTGAAGGAGCATTCCAGCTGATTCACTGTAATTCAGTTCTTGAGACAATAAAACCAGAAAGGTGAAGTTTTTCCTGAGTACCCTTTTGCAAACCCATTATTATATGCAGTCCCAAATCTTCGTTCGCAAAGCCTAGCCATGATGATGATTATATGCAGCTGGAACTACAGAGCAATAAATTACACATATATGTATACATATACACATTCCTAATTTTCATATGCATTATATAGCTTGTAGAGTGGCAAAAATCTGGTCAGGAGGAATGAACTATTAGTAAAAGCTTTGTGTTGCAACCTTCTCAGATCTGAGGGTGCTCAGATGTACCGTGCATATGCTGAGCCACCTGGTCACATAGCATAGCAAAATGGTAATAGGGTCACACCCAAGGAGAGAGCAGAGCTAGCTGCCAAGGTCCTGAAAACCATTCCAACGCATTGCACAAGTGTGGAAGTGGTACAAGAAAAGCATGATGCAAAACAGTGTCAGCTCTCCACAAAGATCACTCCACACTAGCCCAGTGTGGAGGACAGAAACACAACCCCTGGTGATTCAAAGAGCAACTTCACAGGACTATATCCACCAAGGAAAAGAGAAGGGAGGATTATGCCCTTTGGGAAGAAGGCAGTGAAGCGCCTAGTGTCATCCTACAGAAGAGTTACATACTAGCGTAAGCAACACCTGTGAAATGTTGAAATGCTATGCAGCTCGGTGTTTGGCATGATGATACATAAAGGTGGGGCAGATAAAGGATGGTCACTGATACTATTAAACTGCCTGGTGCACACTCCCATGTCATCATTACCAGAGCCATTAGGTACTGTCCACACTTGATCACTGATGACAGATCTCCTTAATAATTTGCAATGCGTGAATGGTTCATTGCCTTCCCTGGGCAATACCACACTGAGGATGTGGCTATCCACATTATCTCACTCATGCAAAGTGCAGTAGTGTGCCAGTTTGACAGACTTTTTATTTTGGCACTGCTTGGGAGACTGTAGTTTATTCAGCAATCCAGTCCTGAAGACCTCAGCACTATCACAGTCCAGGAACACTGCTCACATGACTTAAAGCCTAACCCTCTCAAACAGAAACAAATTTTCATCCATTGCTTCCACTAAATTTGTTCAGAGCATTATATGGAGCATGCAATAATTAAGATGAAATTTGATTCCAGACATAGCTCAACATGAAGACTATTCAGGATTCAAGTCCAATGTAAAGTTGAACATAACGTTTTTATACTTCACTTGCATCAAGGCAAATGTACTGAACTGCTTAGAAGGAGACTTGTCCAAGTGACAACTGTATTAAGGTTACCAGCCAACAGTAAATACACATAGGCTATCTGACACAAGTTACAGTTTTTTGGTTTGGGTTTTTTTTTTAACTCTCTATATAAAACCCCAACAATCTCCTCAGTAAACTTTGTGAGTACTTGAAAGATGTCTATCAGAGTAAGAATTTACTGGTATTCCTATTCTGCCTTCAAATATGTTCTAAACGGGTGAAGGGAACCTTCTAAACTCAGTTCATCCACTGCCATCTTGAGTGCCAAAGTGTTAGACTACAAGACAGATTCCTCTTGCACCAATATTCCAGGACCTATGTTCCTTCTATGACAAGTAACTCCATGCCATCATCCCTCCTGTCTTTTGCACTTCTCTAAGGCCCATGTTCGTTGTCAGCTGTGGTCCTGTATACCTACAATCAACCATAGCATAAATGCTCTTCTATTGAACTCACTGAAAAGCAGCAGAAATACAAGAGGAAAGGATGTTTTCAAGGTCTCTCAGAACCAGCCAAATGAATTGGACATAAAGTAGGTGCTATTTTTAGGAAATAAGAGAGTTGGTGTCCTAAGCCATACTGGAAACAGCAAAATGAAAACCTTTATAAGTTAATACTGAAATGAATTTGTGGTTCAAACGGGGATAAGAGGAATAATGAGCTGGGAATATGGAAAAAAAGTGGACCGACAAGGGAACTGCCATGATGCCATCAGTCTAGTCAGCAGCCAGGTATTTTATTAAGCAGAGGAGTAATTTTGTTGAGCAATACTCAGAGAGGTTTTGTCATGGATAGCTGAGAATGTCTCTTGTGCTGTAATAAGCCATAAATTTCCAGACTTTTTGGAAGACAAAAGGACAAGCAGGTCTTTGGTGAGCTGTGTTACAAAGCCAAATCATAATAATCAGATAGTTTTATAGTGGACTTGATGCCTGAGTTTTTTGACATTGGGATTTCTCAGAATTTTGGTCTCTGCCTACACAGTAAGTACAACACTGCATGTATAACTAGTTGCTTGGTTCTTCTGTCTTCAATATTAGCAAATATGGCTGAATTGAGGGCACCTGTCATTTTCTTCTATTAAAGAATTATGGTTTTGCATATAGACCAACTGCTGCAGTCTCATAAATGCTTGCTATGTCCTGGGAAACCTGGGAAGAATGACACTTAACCAAGGGTTTATATCATTATGGATACACTTAACTAAGGAATTCTTAATTCTGCCATGTGTCTCAGACAGATCAATCACGTTAGAAAGACAATTCTACTATGAATTGCTTACTCTTCTGGGGATGCGATTAGCAGAATTGTAGTTCTTTGAAAGACATAAAATAAACCTGACTTACAGCAGAATCCTAGAAAAGAACAAACATTTTATCATGTAACTGTAAATTACAGAAACTGCTTATTCAGTCTTCTAAACACTTCTAATTACGTATTTGGGTTAGCTTTCTTTTCCTATCTGCTGTGAATTTAATCTATAAATAATTAATTGTTCTTGCCTTGGGGTTTTGCCTTGCTCTGGTGCAATCTTTTTGGTCTCTCCTCTCTGGTATCCCTCTTGTCCCCTCTCCTTCTCCTATCGAGGCCGTAACAAAAAACAGACATGGATAAAGCAATGGACGTACAATTATTGCAGCCCAAAAGCAAATGGGCTTGATGAACACAAATTCATTTTACATTTATCTTTCCTTTTTTCTTTAAAGCAGACATGATATGTATCAGCCCGAGAAGCTTCCCTAATGGTGACTTACAACTACAGCTAGCTGTCCAAGTGTCCTGATTCAGCATTCCTACAGGTACAACAGTACCCATGCACTATTAAAAGTAAATTGGTTGTATAAGGGTTCTGTACTTCTACAGTTTTTAGTGTTAATGTTGAGAAATATTTATGTTAAAAGACAGTACCATATGTTATTAAAACTGAAAGAATTAACAAAAATGTAGTTCAGTCTTCCACTCTTATTTAGCACTGTTCTTTAGGAAGAGCTCACCTACATGTGGGATCTTGCTAGCAGGTGGTATTACACAAAGATCATATGGGGTCAATTTTGCTTTGTTTCCATGATTCTGAGCACCTTTTTCTGTGAAATGGTAAATGTTACTTACGGTAGCTAACACTGTCCTTATGTCTCTAGACCATGCTCTTAAATATTCTCTCAGTGGAAAATGCTTTGATAGAAGCTATCTTCATATTATTCCCCCTGTACTTTGTGAGGTTGAATAGTTACCATGTCATTTCAGTTTACTGGTTTATGACACTACTTACCAAATACTGTGGACAAGTAATTTAAGATACAGGGGCTTCTTGGAACACAAGTGTTTGTGGGAGACATTACTGTGACTTAAATTGTCAGCATTTAAATTCTGTCCCAGTTCTGTATTTTCTGGCTTCCACAATGATTACTATTTAGTACTATTTAGATTCTGTTTGTTTCTTAATGGTTGTGGTGTTGTCATGTTTTTAATTATGAACTGCATATTTATCAGCTAAATGATTCTGAAAAAATACTTCTGTATTAATCATCTCAAATTATTGCAAAACACAGCAAGACTCAGAGCTAAACATCTTTAAAAACTCCAAAAGTTTAAAGAACAGAACAAATTAAATATTTGCTAATTTTATAAATCCTTCGTCAAGCCCATAAGAAATGCTGGCATGGCCAGGGCAAAATGAAGTATTCTTTTTCCCTTCCCACATTTCTCCACCCTACTCAACTGGTTTGGTTTAAAAATTTGATTACTTCCCCTCCATGAATTTTGAAGGAAAGACTTCAATGTTCTTCTCGTCATGGTTGCAGCCCAACAATAGGAACAAATTGTATAGAAAGGATAGAAGGAAAAAAACCACAACAACTTGGATAAATTATAACAACGTTCTCATGTTTTCCTACACATTTTAAACCACAATAAGGAATTACTGTGCTGGGCATCACTATAACATCCTGTTACAAGACATACAGACAATGAATAATGTAGCTGTTCTGAGTGTTATCAAAAGCTCTTATGTGATCCATGCTTCACCATATCTGATTTTTTTCCATTCTGTTTATATACCATTCTCTTCAATTCGCACAACTACATCAAAAGAGCAATCCCAAAGCCATGGCTTATGAATAAGATTCCCCAAAAATCCTTCAGTTCACATATACATTTAAATATACATCCAAACATATGTATCTGTACACATGTAAATATATAAATGTAAATAAAATTGCTATATATATTTTAGCTTATAAAAATCTTTATTGCTGTATTTTTTGATTGATTTAAATCAAAGAAATGTATTTATCCAGATTTCCCATAAGTTAGTGCACTAGAAGCACATAACATATAGGTGGCTCTCATAGGCAGACCTGGCTATATAAAAAATTTAACAGTTACACTTTAAATTTAAAACCTGGGAGGCTACTCTCTCTTATCTGTAGGAATGACTATGGGGAGCAACATGACTAAAAACTAGCCCTAGCAGAGTGAGCATAAACATGACTAACTGAAAAGGGAGTAAGTGAAGGCCAGCTTTTTGTGGGGATTATCCAAGGGATTTTGAATCTATGCATCTACTAACAAGGGGGAACAACTAGTATGATTAAAAAAAAAAAAGAAAGAAAAAAGGAAAATTATTCAACCTGTTAAGCCTGGGAGGGACGTGGAAAGTTTGACCATTATTTCAGGGAAACAAGGTACACTTGGAGAAGGGTGGTGGCTGGAACCATCATACAGTAGCAAATGAACTGTCTGCACTGAACACATGCTCTCAGTGAGGATTACAACCCAATCTGAGTGACCCCTGCTATATTTACCACACAGGGAATAATAGTAATTTTACCAGGTAAAGAACACAATAGTTATACTGAAGAAGAGAAAAAAAAAATCACAACAGATCACAGTGCCTCATTTTATACCAAAGTTGAACATAAGTGTAGTTAAGCAGAGAAAAACTATGGCAAGAATCCAGATATCCAGCACAGCACTGAGCTGGCTTTTTCCCCAGTTTTTTTTCAGGTAATACAGTAAAACTTTGTCCTGCTGCAACAATTTTGAGCAGTATAGGGAGGACGTATCTAGACTGTAAAAGAAAACAAAACCAAACGAGGAAGAAGCCCAGCCCCCTGCCTCACCCAGGCCCCTCTCAGGTGACTGCCTTGCTATACCTGCCCTTGACCTCAAAAGAAAAAAAATGCTTCAGTCATATGATTTCCCTTTCCCCCTTCAGTCTTTGCACAAGTCAGGTTTGTGCTCTGAGATTGTGGGGGTTTTTCTCCTTTGCGAACACCAACACCAGGAAATATTCTCAGCCCCTGTATGACTTACTTCATAGGACCTTGGCTAAAAGGTTTTTTTTAGCTTCCTGATTCCAAGATGGAGAAGGATGCCTTCTCTTCTTTCGGTCTCAAGTTTTGGGAGGAGATTGGTTAACCACTGAAAGGCCTTATCTACTAAAAACTGTGGTGAACCTTAAGGCAATGACTTGCTTTCCTCAGGGCAGGCTCCTCTCACCTATCCACGAACTGGTAACTTTGTTGTCTGTTACTTTGGAAATTGGCTCACCTGCTTTCTCACTTACTTGGTATTGAAGATTATCAAATGACAATATAAAATGCTTTGTTTCTACCATTTAAACATCAGTAATTTAGTAACCCCATGGATCCCAAATAGACTTTAGGTTTTGCTATTTCTTGAGAAAATAAACCACTGTAAGGAAAAGTGTATGAGGACCTGGGCTGGATGTCTTGCTAACATTTCTCTGAGCAAGGTAGCAATGAAATTGAAGAAGCAGAAGAGGAATCCTAAAATGAAAATATCCTACACCTTGATGAACTATCATCTTCAAACATGAGTTAGAAGAGCAGAAGGAATTAGGCATCTGCATATCTGCTGTGTCAGGAATATGGCAAAGGCAGTGATAGAATAAACTCATTTAATCCAGTAATTTGACACAGAATCAAAATGGGCTTCCACAGCCACACCTGGGTGTTAGAAGTACTCCACCCAGTTTCCTTCGATAAATATTCATGTCACAGAACTGAATCTTTGTGTGAAAGGCAGTGACTGTGTTCAGGGAGCAAGTAGGTGTGAGAACTCTTATCTAGATGGAGAATCCTGAGAAACCTTTAGACAGGTACCTGCTAATAAATCTGAAAATGTGACTAATCAACACCTGAATATAAGAGGAGAGACAGCATTACAGTACACAGATGTGTAAAAAAAAGTTTAGGCCTAATTATCTTGCATGGAATTTTAAAGTCTAGATTTTTGTGATCGTTATTCCTAATGCAAAGGAAATGTACAAATAATGAAGCATTAAGAACTTTCTTTTCATTCACTCATTTTACTATCAGCAGAAGCCAGTCTAAATCTGAAATTATTCTCTAAGGGAATAAATGCCTCTAACACCTATTTGTCTTTAACTACATAATTTAAGGTCATTTGAGTTTGCCATATCACAGGTAGGACTCCTTCTCCCTTGGTATTAGTATTTTGTCACTATTGAAGCTGTATGACTGCAAAATATATATTTACCTGTGATTTGGTCCTCGAATTGAATTATTACTTATCCAAAGTGAATGGAATAAATCAAACATTCAGGAAGTTGTTTCTTCATTCATAGTGAGAACACTGGCCACATTGTTTTATTAATTAAACAGTCTAAAAGATATCTACTTCATGCAGTACAGGCTATATGACAGCTCAAATAATCTTCAGTGTGAATCCACAAAGACATTCTAAATATAAACAGGAATCTAATCAAGCTATTTTCCTCTCAGTTGCAAACAAATCCAAGGACACCAAATACTCCTATTTAGCTCCACTGAGCAAAACTGGATTGTGCAAATGCAACCAGGGATGCAATGCATTATTTGGGAAAGGGATAAGAAATGAGTTTTAGAAATCTAGAAATAGTGTATTTTGCGGATCTAGAAATTATTCATCCAGAAATTATTTCAGAGGGCTTTTTAATATTTAATAGTGTGTTATCAAACATCTATTTGCCAAAATTCCAAAAGAGAAACTGCTAACCTTCATTTTCGTAAAACAAATGTTTTGCACATTAAATAGTACAGGACTAGAAAAGTCAAGAATCTCATAGAATCACAGAATATTCTGAGTTTGAATGGGCCCACAAGGATCATCGAGTGAATTGAACCCGAAAATGAAATGTATACTCAAAATTTGTATGATTTTTAATTTTTCAAAGACTCAGTTACCTCCAGTGATTTAATAAACATATGCTATTTATATATTTGATAAGAACATCTCTCTTTCATTGTTATATAGCTGACATTTTTGGTTGTTTAAATCGGAAGCTCACCATAAACAAAATTATAAATTCCAGATAACCTTGCAAAGGGAAAAAGTGGAAATATTTGTACAAAACTAGAAGTACATCTGAATCAACATCAGAGACATCTGACAAGAAAACAATATTGTTATAGAAGGATGTCACTCTTTTCCTAAAAAATTACGTGGTGAGAGGAAGTATTTTGCCTTATAATTTGGGCAACACAACATTTATTCCCTGAGCAACACTATCAAGCAATTGATTTAATCATTATTTAATTTCCTGCTGTTTTATCACCAGTATTTACAGAAGTCAAACCAAAAGAAAGAGAAATAAAGTTGCACTGTATGTCAAGAACAGTTGCTGCGAAGTACAGGAATAGGTACAATGAAGATCTGTGAAACAATCCTGGAAGAAGATGAAAAGGGAAAAACAGGGTATATTATGATAGAAGCTTATTATACACTAGTTAATTGGGTGGAGAGAAGTCTGGGTTTTGATCAAGCAAAGGAAGCATCCAAAAGGACAGAACCTGATGGCTTTAATTACTTCCTGTATTTTTTTCTGTTGGAAAATAAATACAAAAAGGAGACAGTCCAACAAGTTCTTAGAATATGCTGGAGACAGCTTTTTCTTCAGAAGGTGAAGAAAACCATTAAGGGAGTGGCTATTTTAGATCTTCTGCTGACTAGCAGGCATGAACTGGCTGAGAGAGGAAGGCAATCTAGGTGACAGTGAACTCCATCATTTAATAATCACTACTACAAAAAGAAAAAGGAAAGAAGCAACATAAAATTACCTTTTTATTTCCCAGAAAACAAAACCAAATGTTACAAGCTCCAGAGACTGATAAGCAAGGTTTCTTAGGAGGACTGTTTAATTAATACAAGAATGTACGAAAGCCTGTCTTAGTCATTGCTGGAGTCAGCTCTTAATCACCCAAGGTAAAGGGAATAATATGAATTAGGCAAAAACAGAGGATAAAACAAATTAGGCTGTGTACATTAGTCTGCAAGACTCTTACTTAGTTCATTTACCTTTGAAAGGCTTATGAGCAGATTTCCCTAGAGAGAACTGTAACAGAGAGGAGCCTGATGCAAACAGCTTATGTTTTGTAATGCACCATTTTCTACCGCTCTCCCACAAGAAATGCTGAGGGAAGGCAGGGCTTCATTAAATCCCAATCCCCATAAACCATCTGTCATCAGCAGGTGACTATGTTATTACACACAGCAGCAGATTATCCTAATACAGAAGAAACTGCTGAATTCACACACACACACCACACGCAAATTCCTTGATTTTTATGATTTATCCAACAATCAGACCTTTGTGTTATACATCAAAGTATAAAATTATGTGGCCTGGTCTCATACACTTTTAGAGGCTTCATTTAAAAGGTTGTAAATGTTCTTAGTACAAATGGATTGGTTCCAAGTTAGAGAACTGACACCCCAACAGTTTAATTTAGCTGTAAGTATGAACAAATTATTCCAAAAGAAGAACAAAATGCCAACTCAGAGCTCACTAAGTAACAGCTGAATTCTGCCATTCTTAAATTTTCACTGCAAAATATCAAATATCTACTTGCTTTTCTAAAAGTCCTTGGAAGTCCATCCAAGACCACAATATGGTGAACAGCATTTTTTTTCTGTTGGAAAGCTAATTCCCCAGCTAGCTCTACTACAATGAAAATGTCATCCCATCACAGTAGTGTGCCATTTTGCTGTTTTGTGAAGAACTGATACCTTTTTGTTGGATGTTTCAACAGTATCGATAGAACTAAGATGCTGAGTGAGACCACAAAGGATGTTCGGGGTTTGTATTATTTGCGTATTCAACTAAAGACCAATGAGTCTTTTACAAACGCTTCATACAGAAATTAGTACATGGGATTTGCTGGCTTGAGAAGACCAGAAAATAAATTTATTTGTTTTAAAGACAGAATATTTTAAGCCT